GACCCTGATGCTTGGAAAGATTGAAGGTCAAAGAAGACGGGGACGGCAAAGGATGAGATGGTTAGACAGTGTCATCGATGCAACGAACATGAAGTTGAGCCAACTTCAGAGGACGGCAGAAGACCGGAAGGCCTGGAGAGAGCTCGTCCATGGGGTCGCGAAGAGTCGGACTCGACTGTGCGACTGAACAACAACAACTGTGACCCGACTGTCTTAGACATTTGAATTTTTGTTCACATGTTGTTATAGCTTTTGCTGCCGCTTCTTGTAAGTATTCTGCGGTGTGTGCATTTCCTGTTTCTGCAAGGAAGACATTCTGTTCTTCTGTTGTTATACAAGCACATACAACAGGATCACTGTGGATATTACTCCACTCATCAAGACTTAGGTTAACACTTTTACCATCTAGAGCTGTTGCACATTGCTCCATTTCTCTGTCATACATTTTATCCAGCAGTTTCCCTGCAACATCTGCTCTGCTGGGCAGACTGTATCTTGGTCTCAGTGACTGAACCATATTAATGAAGTGTGGGTTTTCAATCAGATGGAAAGAAGAGTTTGTCACATAAACAAACTAGGCAGTTTTTTTGCATCCGTTAACTCTTTTTCTAACCTGCTGGGTTTTATCACAATCTTATCTGTGGTGGTTCCTGGATGGTCGGCTTTTTTCTTTCTTTTAGCTGATATACTGTGGATGTGTGATGTCTGTGACGTGACTGCAACACTATCCTGGACAGCTAACTCTGAAACTGTAGAACAGGAGGATGGTGATCTCAAAGGTGGATAGTCTCCAGAATCCTTTATGCTGATGATGGAGTCCCCTAAACAAAGAAGTCAATGCAGTTATTTTTTTATTTATACCATTTCTGCTTATTTAGGATTACTCATTGCATTTACGGTCACTCAGTACTGCCCAAAAAAGGAATATTTGCTTGTTTCAACTCTTTATTTCTTCATAACAACTGTATGAAAATGACAGTAACATGCAGTAATAATAATAATGACAAACAATTTTGCTCAAACATGACAGTTCCTCAAGGCCAACCTGAAGATCCTGCCTGTTCAAACATGTTTGTCATTGTCATCTCAGCACTTCTCATGATGTTGTTTCCTTCGGGCCACCAGGCCTTGCATTTCTTTGTTGCAGTGTTTGCATTTTGCACGCATGCCTGCCTTACCCATAGGTAGAGGAACTATATTAAAATATTCCCCAACTGGGTCTCTTTTACAGCCCACTGCCATTATAGGTTTTCTCCTCCAGGGAAAGAATATTATGATAAACTTCAGGCTGTACACACAAAGATCCAAAGACTTGTGAAGTATTCTGCTCAAAAGGTTTCACTTTCATTTTTGCTGCTTGCCCCTCCCTCCTCACACTTAGCTTCTTGTGCTGATCTATTCCACTCCCAAACAGTCTTCTATTCATTGAATTTTTTGAAATTTAGCACTTAAGAGGGAAGGGGTTGGTTCTGTGTTTTGGATAGATTTGCTATGGAACAATGGGATTAAGTTCTTTTTCTCAACTCCGTATGTTTTATCACATTTTCGCTGTGAAGAAGAGGCATGTGATCTCTGCAGACACAAATTCACGGTTTTGAGAACGGTAAAATCAAGCGTCTGTGAATAATATCTTCTAGATAGAAAAATTGCCCCAATAATCTTACAGAAAACTCTGGAAGAGCATGATATTGTGAATGGATTAATGGAATTCATTTACCAAAAAATTTAAACATTGCATAAATATACAGCCTCATGCTACATAATTAAAAACTAATCCGTATTTCATGATAAATAACCTTTCATCTATATTGTATCTTAAATAGATTTTTCTTCAAAAAGCATTTTATTAAGAAAAATCCAATTTAAATTAAAAAAACAATTTAAATTTTAAAAATCTGTGAAACAGAATTTCCTCAACCATTACATATGGGAGGGGGGTTAGTTGCCAAGAAGGGCCAATTAGAGTCAAGACAGAGACCACAGTTGATTTTGCCACCAAACTGTGCCATTTTGTTCTCAAGATCAAAGGTATAGCCATGGGCACACACATGGCTCCTCAGTATGATAACTTGGAGCAACGCTTCCTAAGCTCCCACCCACTCATACCTGCAATACAATGATTGCATTTTTATTGTCTGGACACATAGCAAAGAAGCCCTGGACGTATTCCACCAGACATTCAACAACTTTCACCCCACCATTAACCTGACAATGAACCAGTCTGTGCAAGAAATGCATTTTTCTGGACACTACTGTAAAAATGCACAATGGACACATAGACACTACCTTATACTGGAAACCTACTGACCAGCAAACATATGTACATGCCTCTTGCTACCATTCTAAACATACAAAACGATCCATCGTATACAGCCAGGCTCTACGCTGCAACTGCATCTGCTCCAATCCTACAGACAGAGATTCTCACCTGAGGGATCTACAACAACTCTTTTTGGAACTAAAGTATCTACCTGATGAAGTCGAGAAACGTGTTCCAAGACAGGCTACAAAGAGACAATAACAAAACAGCTCTAGTAGTCACAGCTCTCAACTAAAACAGTTCAACACATCATCCTCTACTGGATAATGACAGTTCTTTAGTTGTTATATATTTTCCGGGCTGTATGGCCGTGATCTTGGCATTGTAGTACCTGATGTTGTGATTGGCATCCTCAGAGGTATAACACAGTTCTCTTTCACAAGCAGTGGGGGGCAAACTTTTTCTTGTGCACAGACAGCCCTCCAAGCTCAAATAAGTTCTCACCCACAGTAACATAATGTCTAATTTGAAACCAGACAACACAATCACACCATCTCAGGCTTATTCACATGCTCATCTTCTAACACTGTATATGCCATTAAATACCAACAATGCCCTTTGGTTCTCTACATAGGGCAAACAGGTCAAACCCCATGCCAAAGGATAAATGGACACAAATCTGACATCAAGAATCACAAGACTGAGAAATCCATAGGAGAACACTTCAGCCTTCCAGGACATTCAATGGGTGACCTCAGGGTAGCTGTTTTATTGCAAAGGAACTTCAGGGACAGACTGGAAAGGGAAATTGCTGAGTTGCAAATTATTACAACACTCAGACAATGGAATCCCCAGAACCTAACAGGGATATTGGTTTCTTATCTCACTACATATGCTAACCTCATTCAGCCTTTATATCTGTATTCTCACTAATCCCCCAGAAGGGATTATTTTTATTTTATTTCTTATTTGGAATAATAGATTAGAATGGTAGATTGTAATGTAACATAATGAATAGTAGAAACTGGAATGTATTTCTCTGGTCTGGGGACAGGGGAGATAAATCTGCACAGCCAGTCCCACCACTTCAAAGAAGAAGATGCTGCAAAGTCGCCTCCATGCTTGAGAGGAGATGGATGGCGGGGTCTCAGTTAAATACTCTCAGTATTCCACAGTTAAGGATACATCAATCTCCAATTCTGACATATTTATTTCCTTCACTGTTTCCCCTCCAGAATTGAACTCAAACAAATGGGAACAATATAAACTAATCTTATTATTCCTGTTTGGTTCTTGAATCTATTAAACATTTTCATTAAGCTGTGTGATAATTTACCGCTCACCCTCTACCTGTGCGTATTGACTGGTAATTTCCATTTTTGTTTCTGTTTCTGTCTTGACTCGAATTGTCCCTTCCTGGAAATTAACCCCCCCTTCCTATATGTAATGATTGAGGAAATTCTGTTTCAATGTATCTGAAGAAGTGTGCTTGCCCATGAAAGCTTATACCTTGAATAAAACTTTGTTGCTCTTAAAGATGCCACTGAACTCAAACTTTGTTCTTATTCTCAAGAAGAACCTTCTTATTCAGGCCAGATACTGAATTTTCAGAGCAGCATTTGGCCAAGGCCGCATATACCAGTTCCCCCTGGTCTAAGCAGTGCTGGTGCATACATCATGAAGCCACCTCCCCTCACGTGTTGGAGCCAATTTCAGGCCTTTAAAACAAATTGTGAACAAATAGCAGAATGAATAAATTTGCTGGATTATATGGTGTGGTGCATGTCTGTATGTACAGGTGTGTCTTTGACTGAAGGATGTGTGTTCTTTAAGGAGCAGAGGCCCTTCAGGGCCTCGCACCCACGCCGTCAAAAGCTCTGCTGCCATTTGCTGTCTGTGGGCTCTGCTTTGGGGTTCCTGCACACGAAGTCCTGGCTGTAGCAAGGAGCAGGGTCAGAAGGGCCTTGGCTATCGCCAATGTTCCCTCTAAGCTGTGGAGTCTTGTGAGCAAACATTCTACTTGGTGAGCTACTGGTATTAAAGTTGTGAGCGAGCGATTTGGCTACTGCATAAATCAGTTTGCTCTGGAGCCATCCTTCCTGAGCGAAGACAAAAATGTGTGAGCCGGAGGCTAAAAAACTGTGAGCTGGCTCACACTAACTCAGCTTAGAGGGAACACTGGCTATCGCCCGTGAAATAGCCCCCTGATGGGCATCTCTTCCTTTCAGGAACTCAAAGGGAGGGGAAACCATGTATTTCGGGCAGCATTTGTTTTGTTCTTGTGCCGCTGCTGAAAAAGGAGGTTAATGTTAGAGGGGTACTGTTAGGCGTTAGTCACTGGTTTTACTGAGTATTAATTGTACTGTTTTAAATGTGATAAGCTCCTTAGATTTTGGAGAGGCACAATAAGGAATCCTTTATATAAAGTGTGCGTACGTTCAGTGAAAATAGAAGACCTTGGGGGTTACACAGAATGCACATGATCTGCGTGCATGTAATTGTCACACACAGTGACACACGTATTTCCTGCTGCTTCTGCTGTGGAAGTGTTTCCTTTCAAGACATGGCTGTCATTCTAACTGCAGATCTGTTGCAAGGCCAGTCTTGAAGCTTACTCTTTGCCAGTGTTCACAATACTGTGCAAGAAGAGTGAGTGAAATGTTATGGTTTCCATTTCCAAATGTTCCATTTCATGATAGAAATAGGTGAAGTAATTGTCAGTGTTTTCTTTTTTGCACAGAATCTTCAGGGGTGGTCACAGATAAATAAAAGGACGTGCTGGCATGGACAAGCAGGTGGAAGACTCCACTCGGATCCAAAGGAAGGGGTAAATATCTTTGGTATGGGTTTGCATTCCTATAGTCAGCACCATTGAAATTCAGATTCCTCTACAAAGCCAGCTCAGTTAAAAGTAGATCTGGATGTGCAAATATCATAAGAACATAAGAGAAGCCAATGTTGGATCAGGCCCAATGGCTCATCTAGTCCAACACTCTGTCACACAGTGGCCAAAAATACCAGGTGCCATCAGGAGATCCAGCAGTGGGGCCAGGACACTAGAAGCCCTCCCACTGTTGCCCCCCCCTCCAGCACCAAGAATACAGAGCATCACCTGCCCCAGCCTGTGAGTCCCTATCTATACCTTGTGGCTAATAGCTGTGGCGGCTCAAGTGGTTAAGACGCTGAACTGCAGGCTTTGGAAGGTCAGTAGTTCAGCAGTTCAAGACCCGGGTGCCGCATGATGGAGTGAGCTCCCATTTCTAGTTCCAGCTCCTGCCAACCTAGCAGTTCGAAAGCAAGAAATTGCAAGTAGATAAATAGGGACCACTGTGGTGGGAAGGTAACAGCGTTCCGTGCACCTTGGTGTTTAGTCATGCCGGCCACATGACCATGGAAATGTCTTCGGACAGCGCTGGCTCTTCGGCTTTGAAACGGAGATGAGCGCCGCAACCCTAGAGTCGGATTCGACTGGCTTTCGAGCAAGGGAACCTTGACCTTGAATAGCCACTGATGGACCTCTGCTCCATAGGCTTATCCATTTCCCTCTTGAAGCTGTCCATGCTTGTAGCCACCACCAGCTCCCGTGGCAGTGAATTCCATGTGTTAATCCCTCTTTGGGTGAAGAAGTACTTCCTTTTATCTGTTCTAACCCGACCGCTCAGCAATTTCATGGAGTGCCCACGAGTTCTTGTATTGTGAGAAAGGGAGAAAAGTACTTCTTTCTCGACCTGCTCTATCCCATGCATAATCTTATAAACCTCGATCATGTCACCCCTCAGCCGTCGTTTCTCCAAGCTAAAGAGCCCCAAGCGCTTTAACCTTATCAAGCTATGTTAGTCTGTCTGTAGCAGTAGAAAAGAGCAAGAGTCCAGGCGCTCCTTAAAGACTAACAGAATTTGTGGCAGGAGTGGAGCTTTCATGAGTCACTGTGTGAGAGCCGTGACTCACAAAAGCTCCTCTCCTGCCACAAATTTTGTTAGTCTTTAAGGTGCTCCTGGACTCTTGCTCTTTTTGATTGATCTGCAAAGAATGGCTTAGTCTGTGTGGAGGGTTCAAACTAGTGGAATCTGTCAGACTCTTGGACAAAATTACTCTCAACAACACTCACTGAAGGTGATCTGTTTATTGAAGAATAAAGATGATCCAAGCTAAGAACGTTGTTGAGTCAGAACTGAGATTCTGGTGCGAAACCCCCAAATTATACCTGGTTCAAACGTAGTTTCCTCCAGTCACACTGACCATTCATTCCCACCTAACCCGTGTGGCTCTAACCCCCCCCCCACACACACACACCTATAAATTTCCATTTGTTATCTCAGCTAAGGTAGCAACAGAGACAGACCCAGGCCATCTGGCCAACATCCCTGGGAAAGGGATGTAACTTCAGAAGTTACATGAGATGCATTGCCTTACAATAAAGCCATTCTCACTCGCAGACATTCATAACCCCCCTCCTCTGCAGTTTTCCCAAATTACATGACAAACAAGACAGCAAGTTTGACATTCTGCCCCCCCCCCAAAGGCCTCACCCACCCTGATTGACAGAATCACCAGTCCAGGGTTTATGTGTATCACCATTTTGGAGGGGGTTGCACCCTTTCTTAAAATCTGCAGCTTGAGACGGCTCCTGGGCCAGATGCTGCTTCCAAGCAGTGGCATTACCTTGGATCACTTTCACTTTGCTTAGGCAGGTACATTGACTGTGCCATTTCTTGGAGAGTTATCTGACCCCTGTCACAAACTCCTCTGTTGCATACAGATGATTTTACTGTAACATGCTCTTTGTGAGGCGGCCTTGGAAAACTACAGCTCATGCCAAATGTGATCTGGGGCCTGTTCTTCTAACCATACGATGCCTACATTGCATCATCTCACTGGCTCCCGGCTTGTTTCTGACCTTGGTTCAAAGTATCAGTTTGATCTTTGAAGGCTAAAAGATTTGCAACCAGGACGCCTTAAGGATGGCTTCCTTCTGCCTGAACTTGTGCAAGCACAGGTGATTGGTGGAGGCTGTGCTCTGCATCCCGCCCCTGGTGGAAGTGGTGCATGGGCACACGGGACTTCCAGCCGTAGTGCCTAAGCAGTAGAATTCCTTGCCCAGGGAGGTCCACCTCGCCCCTGCCCTTGGCTGCCTTCATGTGTCAGTCAAGACACGATGACTTCAGGATGCCCTGGCAGCATGCCGTCACAGACACTCTCTTGTTTCTACCCCTGTTAGGTTGAACTGTTTTTCTGCATGCCTGGGAATTCTCTGCAGTCCCCCATGGGGACTGAGAGGCAGGGTGGAATGGTTTTAATACCTCTTAGAAAGATGCATCTAGCTGAAACCACTTGGTGGTCTTCTCATCAAAGAGGGTTCAATTCAAGGTAAAAGGTAGTCATGGGGGTGCCTTTACAAATGTTGAGACTTGGTGGCAGTTTTCATGACTTGCAAAACAGTTGATGTGTCTGTCTTCTCCATGTAAACTTTAATTCTTCTTCGGTCAACTCATGTCCTCAGTTATATCATCGCATTTCCAGATCTCAGGGACAAGTTTAAACCTGGGCACATCTGTTTAAATCCTTTCTATGAGTGATACGAATTGGACTTAATTCTGAATTGCATTTCAATTCATCACAGGACTGTGTAGTTGTCTTTTGTCGGGAAGAGACAGTCTCTAGTCCTTAGCGAATTGAAGCAATGCCATTAAGGCAGTATGCATGGGAGGAATGGTAGAAAAATTAGGAATAGTGCCTCAGTGGCATTCCTTTAGTATTTATGAGAAGAGCAGAGTTGAATCCTTGTCAAGTTCCCTCTCAAGCCTGTGAGCTCCACCACTCACGTTTATGCATTCATGCAAAATGTCTGAAAGTGATTATCATATACATTAACAGTTTTCACATATGATCCTTACCCTTACACCACTCATGTTTATGCATTCATGCAAAATGTCTAAAAGTGATTATCATATACACTATCTCTAACAGTTTTCACATATGATCCTTACCCTTCCCTTGCCTTTTTTTGCATTCCTGTAGATATAAATCATATCCACAAATTTCAAAAGATATAAATCACATTGAAAAGTGTTGAATTAAAAAGTGGGGCTCTCCTGTTTTCTGCCTTGTGTTTACTCCCTTCACAAGTAGTGAACTACAGACTTGGTAACCCCCTTAGTAGCGCTTCTGCAAATGTTTTACAGGTTCCTCTGTGCTAGCTGCAGAACAATTGTTAAATCTGTTATCTAAATTAATATATGCCACTGACTCTGTTCAGATGTTTCTTTGATGCATGTCAGTCTAGAATTACACTGATAATCTAGATTTAGGTGAGGAATCGTGTTGGTCTGAAGCAGCAGAACAAAGTTTGAGTCCAGTGGCATCTTTAGGACCAACAAAGTTTTATTCTAGGTATAAGCTTTCGTGTGCATGCACACTTCTTCAGTTAACAATGAAATGGAAAGTTACCAGTCCATATATATAGGTAGCGGGTGAGCAGTAAATTAGCATACAACATAATGAACACATTTAACAGATTCAAGGACCAAACAGGAATAATAAGCTTAGTTTAAATGGTTACCATTTGTTTGGGTTTAATTTGGGTGAGGGGACATAGTGAAAGAAAGAAATATGTCAAAATTGGGGATGGATGGGCAGATGTATCCTTAATTGTGGAATACTGAGAGTAATTAACTGAGACCCTGTCATTACGCTCCATCCATCTCCTCTCAAGCATTGGAGGTGACTTTACAGCATCTTCTTCTTTGAAGTGGGGCAATTGGCTGTGTAGAGTTATCCCCCTGTCTCCAGATCAGAGATATACATTCCAAAATACATTACATTCTACTATTCATTACATTGCATCATATTACAGTCTACAAATCTACTATTCCAATTAAGAAATAAAATAAAGAGGATATGGCTGTTCTGGGGGATTGGTGAGAATACAGATGTAAGGACTGAATGAGGTTAGCATATGTAGTGAGATGAGAAACCAATATCCTTGTTAGGTCCTGGAGATTCCATTGTTCTGAGTGTTGTAATAACTTGCAACTCAGCAGTTTCCCTTTCCAGTCTGTTCCTGAAGTTTCTTTGCAATAAAACAGCTACTCTGAGGTCACCCATTGAATGTCCTGAAAGGCTGAAGTGTTCTCCTCTGGATTTCTCAGTCTTGTGATTCTTGATGTCAGATTTGTGTCCATTTATCCTTTGGCATGGGGTTTGATCTGTTTGTCCTGTGCAGAGAACTGAAGGGCATTGTTGACATTTAATGGCATGCATACAAAAGCTTATACCTAGAATAAAACTTTGTTGGTCTTAAAGGTGCCACTGGGCTCAAAGTTTGTTCTGCTGCTTCAAACCAACACGGCTACCCTGCTAAGCATAATTTGAGCAGTATTACTTCTTCATCAAGTCACGAACAAACCTCATTGGTTGGATCCCTCAGGCAAGTGCTGACACTGCTAGCTAGCCAGTAATATTCCTTAAGGAATAAGGATTGGGCCACAGAGGCACATCTCTGCCCCTTTCTCTTGCTTCCAAATTCCCTTTGCTGCCACTTGCCTAATGTGATATCACCACCACCATTCCATATATAACAGCCTATTCTAACTCTGATTTTAACACACCGGAAGCATTCCATAACTAAAACCCAAATTTCTATATTTGTCTCAAATGCATTGCTGAGTGGGGACTGGAATTTGAGTGGTGTGGTGACCAACACTCTCATCTGTACACCACACCAGTTCATTGAAATGATATGGTTTTATTATACGTAGTATTTGGTTTGGAAGATTAGGCTAAATGTTGATCCTAGTTTTGTGTGCCAATACTGGACTGCCTTTTCCCTTTGCCTGGATGTATACAAAGACTCAAAAAATGACAACGTTTGCAGCTGTGTTTGATTAGTTTGAGTTTTAGAACAAGAAATCAATAACACAGGATGGTCGTTCTGTTTATGAAAGAAGCCGCTGTGATGCATTTGGCTCCTAAACAGCCGCTCAGTGCGTGATTACCCAACTGGAGCCATTTTGTTGAAATGAGGCAGTGACATTTTACACACAATTAAACAACTGAGAACAGTTCTCTGGCTCTCAAGGATACCGTTTCCCTTTGCCCATTGAAAGCATTCCAGTCTGTACCAAATGTTGCTCTGAAGAAGGAAGGGGCTTTCTTAAACTGCTGGTTGCCAGGTGTAACTTGTGCCTCTGGACCGAAGCTTGACGGTCAGTGGTGAGCTGTTTCTTTGAAACGCACATAGTAAGAGCGTGTTTTTCTTCCCAACAGCTGAAAGAAGTAGATGGGAAGAAGATCCTCAAAGCCATGTTGTCCTACGTGTGGCCCAAAGACAGGCCTGACCTACGTGCCAGAGTTGCCATATCACTGGGGTGTTTAGCCGGAGCCAAGGTAAGAGCTCTTTCACCAAGTTGCAACAAGGGTCAAAGCTTTTACTGTAAGTGCCAGGAATTCAGAAATAGAGAGGCTAGCTTGAAATATCTGAGGTGGGTTTTTTTTTTTACTTTCAAAAATCCATTAAATGTCTTAGTCTCTAGCAAAGAAAGCTTTCCTTTTGTGGTGCCATGATTCCTAGAACTGAAAGCCAACCTGACCTTTCCATTTGTGAGCTGCGTGCTCCTGTAATTCTTGCGGGGGCACACATTCCCTTCACAAACACCCCCTCCCCACATCATTTCTCTAAGGGAGAACAAATTCCATTTCTCCCATGCCTCTGCCTGGCATCAGAAGCTGTGCTAATTCATTGTAGGGTTAGGCAGAAGCTAGTTCAAACCCTGTTTAAGTAGAACTCTCCTTGGGAAAGAACCTGGCTAAGCCTTGAACATGGTTAATATTGGTTTTGATACAATGCCTGCCACAGTCAAGGCTGAGAACGTGGGCGTTCAAGCTGGAGGTGAGGGGGAGCAGGTGATCCTTTGTCCAGTCACTTAACTGCGGTGTCGTCTTCTGCTGAATGGCAAGGTGTTCTCCTGGAGCCTCTTTTCCCTGAAAACCCATTTAGGTGAGCTTTCATTGGCATTCTTTTCATGATGCTTCACTCTGAACCGTGTCTCCCACTATGTGCCAGTTACGTTAGTCAGACAGCCTTCTCCTAGTAGTACCCTTACTTACGATGGTCCATTTAGCAACCGTTAGGTTGCAGGCATCCAGTGGAACAGGCCATTGGAGCGGGTGCAGCAGATGCCTTCACTTGCCATGTTCAGGAAGGCATGTAAGAATGTCCTATTCCAGAGGGCTTTTGGTGCAGGTTAAATTGTTTTTAGGCTCTGTTTTTAACTGTTTGTTGGCTTTTAGCTGCTGCATTTGCATTGGCTGCAACTTGCTGGATGCTCATGATATTTTGTCCTTGCAGCTTTTGTTGGCTTGTTGGTCACCTTGAGTTTGCAAAGATATGGTGAGGTATAAGTATTTCAGATAAACAGCTTGCTTCATGTTGGCACCCTCCCTGCATTCTAATTTGAAGCAGCTGTTTGTAGCAGCCTTCAGAGGATAGGGAGAGAATGCTAGAGACTCCCTCAGACTTGTGAGATTGTCTTTCTCTAGAATCAGCCTGCGCATTTTCTTTTATTTCAGTAACTGGGGAGCAGTCTAGGGTTTGCAAGAGGTTTTAGACATTGAGATTTTCAGCAGTGTAATTCTGGACTCCACAATAAACTTTTGGGATTCAACAATGGAGAAACATAATGAAATGAAATAGTGTATTTGTGCAAAAGGAAGATACTTCCCAAGGTTTTGCACAGCATTTTTTAAAATTATAACGTGTGTAATTTTTTGTATTATAACTTGTGTGTAAATTTAAGATGATCCCCTGTTTTTTGTGAGGCAAAAAACTACCTTTCAGGTAAATAAGGTATACCACAACTACCAAGATGCATGTTCTACTTTTGAGGGGAATCCCTCCTTATATATATTTGAGTTTTGGTGTGAACTCTTCCACATGCCTCCCCAGGCTTTGGGCCCCTGATCTGTCGATCCGGAGGGGGGCCAATTCCCTGGCTGCGTTGCCTTCCTCCGTCGCCTCCCTCCTGCCCACAGACCTCCGCCCCTCATTCGCCAAGAAGCCGCGGGCCGGGATGGACACTTCACTGGCTGGACACCTCCCAGGCTCACCACCTCCCCACCCGGCCTGCATCCGCACAGGTCCCACCTGGGAAACACGACGGCCTGCGCAGTCGAGCCACCAGGGTACGGGTGGTGGAGGGAGGAGGGCTGCGACCTTCGATGTGGCAGCCACCCGAGCTGCTAGCCACCTCCCGCTGGCCCCGCAAACCTTGGCTTTGCAGCCCCGCAACTCCCACCACCCCATTCGCCTCAGGGCTGCGGCGCGGCTGAGCTCCTTGCCGGCCTCCACTACCCGAGCTTGGCGCTCGCTCCGCTCCTCTCCTGGGTTTGCCTCTGAGCGGGATGGGAGGCAAGGAGCCAGAGCTGCATCCCCCAGCTGCTCTCTCCTCTTTACTGCTGGCAAGACGTGCATACTGTCTGCCGCCCCCGCTACACAGTCTGCCTCGAGCCCCTGAGCTGCGGCTGGTATTGCTGCTGCACCGGTGGCAGCATCAACGCCTCCCCAGGGAGGCACTGGCAGACGTCGCGGGGGGCGTTCCACCATTTGGGGCCTCCTCACGCCTGGCCTTGGCGCTCGCTCTGCTCCCGGGTTCACCAGCGCCAACATCTCCCCCGGGGGGGGAGGCAACCAGGGAGGTGCCGGCGAATGCCACTGGGGGCACTCCGCAGATTGGGGCCTCCTCACGCCCAGCCACTGGGAGCCCGTCGACAGCAGCTGGGAGACGGCGGCCACCAAGGACACTGATGCCGACTTCTGCAGGCTTCCTGGCATCTGCCCTCGCCCCGGGGTCTTGCTAGGGCTCGTGGAATTCACTTCGCCACGGGCATTTCAGCTAGTGGAGTATAATGCTTGTTTGTGATCTGAAAGAAAGAAGCAAGAATCAAGAGGAATATACAAAATGACTTCCTTTCCCCCCTTTGGTTATTTGCCTATGGTATACCAATGTAAATATCAGTGATAGATTTTAATCGGGTTCCGGTGTCTGAGTCTAGTTACCCATTCCTTTTGGCAATTACAGACAACAGCACAGAAGTAAATCAGCAGCTTAGCTAGCCAAAACTTCTCACCAAGAAGGAACATTTTGTTGAGAAATAAGCTTTGTTGCTAAACCAGGCTGAACCAAGCATTCTCTTATCTACGTCAGCAGGTTTGCCTTTTTACAAAAAAAGGGAGGTGGCTCCATAAAAGAGGCATAGAGATGATAAGAAAAGAGTTATCTATAAAACGTCTGCCACCACTCCCAGCACAACAGAAAGGGGCTAGCCACCATTTCGGTTCTTGGCATCTGTTGTAGCCTCTGTTGGAATGGCCTGGCCTGACTCTCAAGAGCTGTGTAAGGCTCGTGCAAATCTCTGATTTTAATGTTGTATATGCCATTAAAGGTTTATTGATTGGCTCGTGCAAAGAAGAGGGAGTAGACCTGTGACGATCCCAGTTCTCTTCCCTGAGGAGTTGATCCTTTCTCCCTTCCTCACCCTTCACATCACAAGCTACTTTTGAAACAGAAGATTGATGCACCCCCCGGGCTTTGGGTGTGCGTGTGTGTCTGGATTCTTCCTTGCGTGCTCTGTGCAGATTGCCCTCCAAGCCTCTGTCTGCCCATGTCTCCAATCTGCTTTGGTTTTTTAAAAATTAAGTTTGTTTAATACATTGTACATATATATCACTCCCCCAAAAAAAGAAAAAGATTTTTTAAAAATATTCTGCGGTGTGGAGTTTAACAGTAAAATTAATAAAGACAGATTTATACAATCAAGGGAAGTATCAACAGGAAATCAGGACAGGGAAGGTTTGATCAGAAAATTGCCCCCACAAAGTATTTTGGAATCTACCCCGTCATACCACAGGAGGACGACCTCTTCTACACCCTCATTCCCTGAAATACCTGGGACCTGTCAACAAGAGAAAAGAAAAAACTCCGAATTCACATACAAACTAAGTGGGGAAAGGAAGAGGCCAGAGCAATGGGCTCACAATCCCAAATTCATCTGCAGAATGGGGGGGGGGGGGGGCCCATGGCGATAGGCAGGGGGCTCACCTTCCCCAAGCCACTTCACAGAATAAAATGACAAGTAAAACCATCTGCTTTGTGTGAAAGTCAGCCAGGCTGTTATAGTTCCCCTGCTCTGGCACCATTATTAATTTGTCACTTCATTTCCTAACCCTTTCTGGTTACCTTGCTGTGCCTAGTGTAGGTTTGGAGCACCGTGTGCTATTTCTGCATGATGCTGGTTGGCATTCAGTCAATGTTTAGTTGTAGTAATAGTAGCAAGCACCTTGCTGATATAGTATAAGCTCAGCGCCTCACCCAGCTAGATCTTGGCAAGGTCAGTGGACTCGTTTTGCATTAAATCATGCAGTTTCTTGCTGGTTTATGTATGGTTGGTTAGGTGTTAAATAGCAACTCTGGAGAATCCAAAGAACGGTAGCCCCATGTTTCCTCAATCATCTTGCCTTTTTAAGAAGGTGGCTTATAGTGATCTTTTTTTAGAGCTTGTATTGTATCGTATCTCAATGGCAGCATAAAGCTCTGGGGTGTGAACTGACATAATTCTACCACTTCACCTGGCTGGAACTGCAATTGGTGACAGTTTGGTTTTATTGGTTTTACTAGGAAAAAGGCCCGTTGTGGAAATAAGTACAACGACCTCTAGAGAGAGGCTCTGGGCGGGTGCCCCGGCCTTGGACACTCAGTGTCAATTTGCCATGGTGACCTCAGCAGGGTATAATGACACTGAGTCCATCATTTTCTCCAGAGGAACTGATCTCTGCTACCTAAAGAACAGTTGTAATTTTGAGTGATCTTCAGCCCTCACCTGGAGATTGGCAACGATGGTTCCCCAAAGGGAATCATCAACCTACCTTTATTTCCCCCTCACTCTTCAGCTTTCCACCCCACACACACCTGCAGCCTGTCCCGTGCTCTGAAGCCCTGACTGCTACGTCACATTGGCTGTCATACGGGGGCCACCTCAGCAGCATACACAAGGATACAGAGCACACCATTTTCTCCAGGGGAACGAATCTCTGTCATCTGGAAAGCAGTTGTAATTCTGAGTGATCTCCAGCCCTCATCTGGAGATTGGACACATTTTACCTCAGAACAGCAAACTGTTTAGAATGTTAGAGGCAAAAGCCAATCAAGTCGCATATGCAAACGACCTCTGTGTTCCGAGGCAAAGGCCAATGAGGCTGCATATGCAAATAACCTCTGTGTTCTGACTGGCTATGGGGGGGAGAGGAACAGCAAAATGTTTAGAATGTTGGCGGCAGGACTCAGGCAAAGCAGCCAGTGGATAGGGAGACCCTCTGAATGACAGATCAGAGA